AGTACATGTTGAGGAAGAGAAGTCTAGTGTTGCACCGTGCACGCATGCCTCATATTTTTTTTGGTTGGTTGAACGGAGAGTGAGCGCGTGCTTGAAAAAAAAAACACGGCGTTGCCGGGGGGGCCGGGGGGGGTGAGTACATGCTGAGGAAGAGATGTCTAGTGTTGCACCGTGCACGCATGTGCCTCGTTTTTTTTTTGGTTGGTTGAACGGAGAGAGAGCGCGTGCTTGAAAAATAAAAACGACGTCGACTGGAGTTGGCGTGTTGAGTCGAAGTTCCACAGCGGGTGGGGAAGGAGGTGGAACGGCTAAGGGGCAGCCAAAGAAAGGAAAAAATACCACTTGCAGTACTCCCGAATTATATCGTGCATCGTGCAACCAGCCCCGCACGAAACAGATGCAAAGGCCAGACGTCATCTCAGCTGTCCAACAAACACAGAAGCACTCGGTGGAATAGGAACTAAACCACCTTTGGGGATCATTGGTGTGGTGACAATTCTCACACTGCCTAGCCCTCGTGCGGAAACCTCCTTCTTAACCTAATGACCAGGTAGTACAAGTCCTCTCCTGATTGGAAGAAATACTACATCCCCATCTGCAACTCCCCCCTTTGCAAGCCGTAACCTTTCGGCACAAACAAGTTTCCTGTCTACCATAAGTACGATTGGACCAACATATTTCCCTGGCAAACCGCTGAGGCTTACACCTTGAGGTACTCTTCCAGCGTGGGAGGCTCTACTCCCAAGTACTGTGAAATCTGGTTGCCGCCGTTCAGGCAGGAGTGGAAGTTTGACAACAATGTTGCTACCTTGTACTGCGTCGCTACAGGGCTCTGCAGGAACTTCTGCTGGCACTTCATGTCAACGAAGGCCCACGTGCTAGTCATCTCCTTGAACCTTCATTCGACCGTCACTCGGCATTGACTCATGCTCTTGTTAAAGTTTCTCATCGCGAGCGTAAGGGGGCCATTGACAGATGCACTAAAAGGGCACTGTATGTGATCGGTCTGACC